TAGAAGATGAAATAGGAGGTGAAAAACTATTATGAGAAGAGGTAGATATTAAAGGAACACTAGGCACGGTTTGAGAAATATTATAAGAAGATGGAGTAGAGGCTATAGGAGATTTGGCAAAAGGGAAGGACGATTAATCAAACAAAACATGCTCGAAATGAGTAAACGATCAACAAGTTACAAGCACTTGTAACCTTTATGCATATTACTATAGCCAAGAAAAGTGCAAGGACAAAAACAAAAAGTCAAGCTTATGGGAATTATAAGACGTAAACCGGGATAACACTAACATTCAAAAGTCTTTAAGGAAGAATAGTTGGGCGATTGACCAAAGAGTTCTCCAATGGACTCACATTATGAAGAATATTAGTTGGTAATTACCTATTCATGAGATAAACAGGAAGATTGAAACACAAGAGTAAGTCTCGGGTCAACAATGTGACAGACGTTTTTTTTTTCAACAATACCATTTTGTTGGGACATGTAAGGATAGGTAAGTCTATGATCAATACCATGAGTTTTGAGATAAAAAGCAGAAGTCCCTAAGATGTTCTCAACAACGGTCTTGAAATTGAGAAAGGCTTGAAATGATTCTGATTTAGATTTGAGAAAATAAATCCATGTATAACGGGAGTAGACATCAATAAAACTAATGTAATAACGAAAGCGTTAGGAGATAATTTATAAGAGGGACCCCAGAAATCAGACACAATTAGTTGCAAAGGGGTTATATAAGTGGTCAAAGAGGGGATAAATGGGAGAGCATGAGTTTTACCAATTGCACACGCATGACAGAAATTAAGATAACTATTATTAGGCAAATTTGACAGACAAGACTTAGCAATATGTTTGACAATAGATGGGGTAGGATACCCTGGACGTCGATGTCAAAGATCTAAAGAGGATGAACTACAAGTATTGGGTACAGGGGATAAAAATAAAGTAGACAAAGAAACACATTCTTGTGGTGAAGAAGAATCATTTGAATTTGAAGAAAGGGGTTGATGCTTGGATAGGTTAAGCTTGTACAATCCGTCATGAAGTGTCTCTTGGAGCAGCACCTTGCCACTAATTGTGCTCTTCACATAGTAAACAAAAGGGTGAATTTCAAAATATACACTATTATCTTTGGCAAATTGGCTTACGCTAATCAAATTCTTGGTAATATTAGGTACATGAATGAGATTGTTGAGGCGAAAAAGACGATTATAAGAAGTAATGGAAGAGTAACCAAAATGAGAAATATGCAGACATGCATCATTGCCTACATGAACCTGATTCCCTCTGCAATATTCATATCCAACAAATAGATTGTTGAAGTTGTGAGTAAGGTGATTCATTGCACAAGAATTTGGATACCAATTACCATCTTGATTTAGATCTGGAGCAGCCACCATTGCTTACATACGAGGATAGGAAGAATTACTTGTATGATAGGACGAACTAGAAGTGGTGGGTTATTGTCAAGGTGGATTGTAGGGAGAATAGCATTTGAGTGCCGTGTGACCAAATTTGCAACATAGTTGACAATGTACTCGATTACGATTATTCTAATTTCGGCCTCCTTCTCGATTACAGTTATTGTTCCAATTTCATTCATTTCCTCTCTGGTTATTACCTTGATTCAGATTCGAAAATTATTTAGCACCTTTCGAATTATAATTCTCCTTAGTTGTCTGGTTGCGAACCATCAAATTTGTTGTAGCTAGTGGTCCATCTGTATTTATTGTCTTGTTTCATTTCTATTTTCTTGCATAAGAGAGGCATAACTTCTTAGACTGTTTGTGGCCCAGTTTTGACTGAGATCACTGGAATCATAGATGGAAACAGTAGTTAGGGCATTAATGCATTTCTTTATCTTTGAAAAATACTCCTTCAATGACGAACCTCCATTTTGCAAATTTTGCAATTTTGATTTTATTTTCATAACTTGTACAAGATTCCTTAAAGTGAAAATTTTGGAGTAAGCTGTTCATCCATGGCAGAAGTACAGTGCAACATCTACTCCAAAATATCTTCATTCATAGATCTCAAAAGCCAAGAATAAATTAGTTTACCTTGCTGCTTCAATCGGGAATACATCATATTAGGAGTTCGTACTTGTAGCAAAAATTGCTTACCGCAAGTGTATGGGCCAAGTTTTAATAAAGAGGTAAGTCAATACCGATATCGTCTTTAGGATTGAGTTTCTAGATCACTCAGGTACCACATATACTTTTGCCCAGTTTTATTTAGAAAATAAGTTGGAATATTATAATGTGATTAAGGGAAATCAATATAAACTACTAAAGAATGTAAATTCAATGGGAAGAACGATCCTAAAGAATAGATTCCATGGATTGAGTCTATGTACCAATTATTTAATTAATCAAGATTGAATAGATTATCAATTTTATAGGCCAAGAACTTTTTCAATTGCCTCTCTCAAGCGCAAGACAAATGTCCTTACTAAATTACGAAACTAATATCTCTATCTAGTTTCTATAATCAGTAAGTCTCTTAACGACCTCTAAAGGAATTCTAAATCTCTCGATCTTAAAACTCATTTAGTTATAAATCTGAGTTCTCAACTCTCAACCACCTCTCCCGAGTGTAAGATTGCAAGTTTAAGATCAATTAATTTATGGCCAGTAGATTAAAAGTATGAAGCAAAGATAAACATAAATAGAATAAACAAATGCATTCAACCAAGAAAATCAAACAATCAATCCATAAACGTCAACGATTTCATCAATCTCTAAGACAAGCGAATTTAGCTACTCATGTTCATGATCAAACTGGAAAATAAAAGAAAAGAGATAGAAAGTGAATCTGTCATGTTGATTGGTCGTCTTCGACTCAATCTCCGTGATCGATCTTCAAAACTCAGCTTCTTCCTCGAAATACTCTGCAATATTCCCTATAGGATCTCCCCCATTTCTGATATGCATAGACCCTATTTATAGAAAAATCTCGATAGCATTGAGATGTTAGGGGTACGTCTCAATGTTGTGCCCTAAAGTGTTGGCGTAAGCAGCTCTAGCGTCGTAGCGTTGAGATGCTTTATGTGGCGTCTTGATACTACGACGCGAAGCGTTCTTAAAGACACTTTGCAATCGTAGGAGTAGCGTCTCAATGCTATTTTGTTTGGTCATCTAGCGGAGCTTCCTCTTAGAGTGATAGTGTCTCGACGCTATTTCTTCGGGTCTTTTGACTCGAGATTATGTTGTGGCGCTCCTTTGACTCATTTGGGTTATGGTTTTTCTTCTCATTTTTATCAATTTGATGTCTCGATTTTTCTTGATACCTCATTTCTACAAAACAACATTGATAAGCGTACATTTATCATAAAGAAATGGAAACTAGCAATTAATTCCACTATAACGATTATAAAATATAGCCCACAACGAAGGTTACCAGTACTGTAGAAGAAGAGTTTTTAGGATTATCCATGATGACTTTGGGTCGTGGCTCTGTGTCTTTATCGATAAAGGTCTCTAATCTATGGCTTTCTAGGATCGTAAGGACCTGGAATTTCCAAACAAGGAAATTATTGTCATTAAGTTTCACAGCGGAGATCTTATTACCTGAATTGATGGATTGAGTAGCTTGATTATCACTTTCTTCCATTGACATAATCTCTATATTCGATGAATCAATTGACACAAAATTTCTGGACATTATAATTTGGAGAGCTTAGTCATTTGACAGTGGCTCTCATACCATTACAAAAATAAGAAACTCAAATGCTCACGAGAAACTCATAACTTTTCATTAAACTTGATGATTCTGTAATACAAAGTGAACTAATCAAAACTAAAATGATACCTTTAACAACCAAATCTCGTAAACTACCCAACTAATTAGAAACTGAAAAAGATCTAACTAATTATAGTATCAGAACCACACCAACAAATTAAAATTAGACAGAAGCCCCTGACCTCCGCCAGACATTGAATGAGCGCATTGCACCTCAACAAGTTGGTCAACAAACTCCGGCTACACCGAATTGGGGATCTACCCCCGCAACGGTTGGGGTCAATTCGAATACGATTTACCGGCCATCGCTTGCTACGACGACCGCCACTACATCGACGTATCAAGCCACGGTTGATGTACCGGAGGTGCATGATTCTATGAAAGAAGTAATTAGTAAGCTTCAGAATGACTTCGAGGCTTTAAAGCAAAGTTGTAAAGCGGATGATGCCAGTTGGGTGGAGTTAGGTGAACGAGAAGATCCTCCTTTCACGGCTCCCTTAATGGCATATCCACTCCCACCAAAGATGAAGAAACCTGACATGAAATCGTACGATGGATCAACCGACCCGATTGATCACATCGACTTGTACGAAGGCTTGATGGAGTTAAATGCTGCAGGAGACGAAATGAAATGCAAGGCGTTCTCCGTCACTTTGAAAGGCCAAGCTAGGTCCTGGTACAGGCAATTGAAGCCTAAAACCGTCGGGTCCTGGAAACAGTTGAGGAAGATCTTCATAAGCCAATTTTTGGCGCAACATGACAGAAAAATGCCCGACACACATCTCCTCACCATTTATCAAACGGAGGATGAGTCGCTGCGTGACTTCGTCGAGAGATTTATGGCAAAGCAAATTAAAGTCCCATACTGCTCGGATGATGCAACTAGGATGACTTTCACATAGGCAATAAATAATCCCTACCTGGTACATTCTTTCACCATCCAACCAGCTCGGACTTATGCCGAAGTGATCCAGCGAGCACGTTAATATATGCATGCTGAAGATGTACTCTGGGCAAAACATCTCCAGCACCAAACCGTAATATCTAGGCATGCAAAAGTTTGAGGGCAAAGCTCGCAGCCGAAAAAAGGTCATACAAATCATGATTATGAGACAAAGAGGCCTACCCACGACAACCGATCTCGGCCAGAACAAACAGTACGAGTTCATGATCGTCGTTTAAGAGAGTTCGACCATTACATCCCGCTCAACGTCCCCTTATCAGAGATCCTGGCCAACATCGAGAATAGCGATTTGCATACAATGTTGGAGAAGCCAAGTAAAACAAAGTCGAGTCCGGATAAGCGAAATAAGAGCAAATATTACAGGTTTCATAGAGACCATGGACATGATACTTCGAAGTGCTTTGACTTGAGAGACCAGATCGAAAACCTGATTAGGCATGGCCATCTGAAAAAGTATGTTGGGAAGAAAGATTCATGTTCTTCTCAAGGGAAAAGAAAGTTCGATCGAACAAATCATGACGATCAAGACAAATCTCCCTCACTCAAAAAAATAGAAGCGGCTAGAAAAAGGCCCGTGGTGATAAACACCATTTTTGGTGGTCCAAGTGGAGGACAGTCAGGCAATAAGAGGAAAGCCCTCATTCGAGAAACTAGCCACGAAGTCAATACATCATATGTTCGGTCAACGGTGGCAATATCTTTTTCTGCAGACGACTTGGAGGGAGTTCATTTACCACATAATGACGCCTTGGTGATCTCACCTATAATTGATAATATGCAGGTCCAGCCGGTACTCATCGATGGAAGGGCATCCACCAACATACTCTCACTCTCAACATATCTTGCTCTAGGATGGGAGAAATCTCAACTGAAACGATGTCCAACACCCCTAGTCGGCTTCTCAGGAGAAATGATCGCAGCGGAGGGTTGTACTGACCTCCCAGTCACTATTGGGGAAAATGACAACAAAGTTCGAAAGGTTATAGAATTCGTCATGGTTGATGGTGCGTCAGCATATAACGCAATATTAGGACGACCATATATACACGAACTGCAGGTTGTTCCCTCCACATACCATCAGGTGATGAAGTATCCAACTCCCTGTGGCGTAGAGATCATCAAAGGCGAACAGAAGGCCTCACGAGAATGTTATGCGACGGCACTGAAAGGTACTCGGACTTATGCCGTCATCATTGGGACTACTTCATCCGAAGTGACACCAGGCGATAAGCTCAACAATGAACTCGGATGGGGAACGTCGAAGCAAGAGCTCAAGCAAATTAAGCTAGGGTCTGATGAAAAGGTTGTCAGCATCGGATCGGGGCTAAAAGCTCAAATACGATAAGAGTTAGTTAATTTTCTGCAAAAAAATGCCGATGTATTCGCATGGTCTCATGAAAACATGCCAGGAATAGATTCAAGCGTAATAACTCATAGGTTGAATGTTGACCCAAATTGTAAACCTATCAAACAGAAACGCGACCTATTGATGCTACTTGTAGCGCTGTAATATCTGAGGAGGTTAATAAACTCCTCAAAGCTGAATTCATTAAAGAAGTTTATTACCCTGCTTGGCTCTCCAATGTTGTAATGGTAAAAAACGCAAACGGGAAGTGGAGAATGTACGTCGACTTCACAAATTTAAATAAGGCTTGTCCAAAAGACAACTTTCCACTTCCCCGAATTGACCAGCTCGTGGATGCGACAGCCGGTCACGAGTTATTGACCTTCATGGATGCGTATTCGGGATACAACCAAATAAAAATGCATGTACCCGACCAAGAACATACGACCTTCGTAACAGATTAGGGCCTCTACTGTTATAAAGTAATGCCCTTTGGTTTAAAAAATACATGGGCAGACATATCAGCGGTTAGTTAACATGATGTTTAACAAGCATATAGGTTGCATGTGGAGGTCTACGTAGACGATATGTTGGTTAAAAGCCTTATAGCATAACAACATGTGGCTGACTTGACAGAAGCTTTTGGCGTATTGAACCACTATCAAATGAAGCTAAACCCAACAAAGTGTGTGTTTGGGGTTTCTTCAGGGAAATTCCTAGGATTTATGGTCAATCGCAGAGGAATAGAAGCAAACCCGTATAAAATTAAGTGCTAGAGATGGAATCTCCAAAGAACTTGAAACAATTGCAATGCTTGAATGGTCGAATAGCCGCATTAAATCGGTTAGTGTCTAGTTCAACCGATAAGTTCCTTCCATTCTTTAAAATCCTACAGACAAAAGAGAAGTTTGAATGGACAGGTGAATGTGAGCAAGCTTTTCTCAAACTGAAAGAATATTTAGGTTCGGCACCCTTGTTGTCAAAACCAGAGAATGGAGGAATACAAAGTCCAGTGTATTACACGAGTAAGTCACTGACAAACGTAGAAACAAGGTATCCGGATATCGAAAAGCTAGCTTTGGCTCTAGTTACTTCGGCCCGACGGTTACGACCCTATTTCAAGGCCCATAAGATTGTTGTTCTGACGAATTTCCCCTTGCGACAAGTTTTTCAAAAACCGGAGACGTCGGAAAGGTTGATAAAGTGGGCTCTAGAGTTGAGTGAGTATGACATAAGTTTTGAACCACGAGTGTCCTTGAAGGGACAAGTCGTAGCTGATTTTGTAGCTGAGATGACACCAAACCATCCGGTGAAAGATTCGACACAACAATGGACACTTTATGTAGATGGATCCTCTAATGAAAAAAGATGTGGAGCCGGAATCCTCCTTCAGTCGCCAGAGGGGACTCGATTTGAATACGCATTATGATTCAAATTCAGAACGTTGAGTAATGAAGCTGAATACGAGGCACTATTAGTTGGCCTTTCGCTTGGCTCAAAGCATGGGAGCAGATTGTGTACTAATTTTAAGTGACTCTCAGCTTATAGTCAACCAAATAATGGAAGAATTCCAAGCCAAAGATGAAAAATGGCCAAATATCTAAGGAAAGCAAAAAAAACTTTGGCTAAATCCATAGACTTCGTAATTCGCCAAGTTCCCAGGTCCGAGAATTCCAACGCGGATGCTCTGGCGAAATTGGTGGCGGCGTTTGAGACCGATCTGGCCTGCACGGTACCGGTTGAGGTGCTGAGCTCGCCTTGTATCAAACAAGCAAAACATTGTGCAGTAGAAGTTCGACCTCGATGTTGGATGGATCCAATCATTGAATTTCATAAAGGAATTCAACCATACGATCAAAGTAAAGCAAGAAAGTTGCGACGCCAGGCTGCTCACTATATTCTTCAAGGGGAAACGTCGTACAAGCGCGGGTATGCCTTACCCCTACTTAAGTGTCTTACGCCGGGCGAAGTAGATTATGTGATCCGAGAGACACATGAAGGAATTTGTGGAGATCATGCTAGGGCTCGAACTCTAATGTCGAAAATCATTCGGCAGGGATATTACTGGCCGAGTATGAGTAAAGATGTGAAAACTTTCATGCGCAAGTGTGACTGATGTTAACGGTATGTTGATCTGATAAAACAGCCACCTAAAAATTTGACACCGATCTCAAGCCCATGGCCCTTTGCCCAATGGGGAACTAACCTTATTGGATCGCTACCAACTAGTAAAGGCCAGGTGAGATTCGCCATTGTTGTTGTCGATTACTTCACTAAGTGGGCTGAAGCTGAACCTTTTGCCACTATAACGAAAGTTAAGGTGAGAAATTTTGTCTGGCGCAGCATAATTTGTCGGTTCAGAATTCTAAATGCTATAATAACCGATAATGGGAAACAATTCGATAACGACAAATTTAATCGCTTCTGTGCGAACCTCAGAATAAAACACTTTACGTCTTCACCGGCCCATCCGCAAGCTAATGGTCAGGTGGAAGCAGTCAATAAAATTTTAAAGCAAGGATTAAAAATGAGGTTGGAAGAATTAAATGGTGAATGGGCCGAAGAACTCCCAGGAATATTATGGTCTTACCGAACAACTCCGAAGGGCTCAACTAATCAAACTCCATATTCGCTGGCTTTCGGCATGGAAGTGGTCGTTCTGGTTGAGATCGGATTGTTGACGGAACGGACCGCACGGTCCTTTGATGAAGACCAGAATTCTGCAGCGTTGTGTTTAAGCCTAGACCTTCTTTGTGACGCTGAAAGAGGCCTCCGATAAATCAGCTAAAATCGGAGGAAAATAGAAGAGATGCACAACTGAAAAATGTCAAGTACCAAAATAAGATGGTGAGGTATTATAACGCCAGAGTTAAGCAAAGAAGCTTTAAACCCGGCGACCTTATGTTGAAGAAAGTCCTTCAGAAAATTGGGGCTTTAGAGCCAAACTGGGCCGGTACGTATAAGATTAAAAGTGTCGTTCGGCCCGGCACATATCATTTGATAGACTTAAACGGAAGACAACTTGCACATCCATGGAATGTAGAACATCTCAAAGTATATTATTAGTGATGTCTGTAATTTAAGTCAACGTCTTACCACCCTAACTTAAAATTAGGGGCTGTCAGGTGTGTAACATTGGTTTTAGATTAGTAAGATTAATCTAAGGTTGGTGCTGTACGGATCAATTCTATATTAATCTAATGTTATATTGGTGTTGTACGTACGTATCAATTCTTATCTTGACTCCATTGTACGAGTGATTCGATTTACAAATAAACAGTTGTAAGTAAGTGAGTCAAGTGAACTTTGTGAAAA